GCTGCAATGGGGCTTCCCTCCAACTTCTCCATCAGTAACCTCCCCCCACCAAAATGGACCCAGGGGACATCTCAATTACTAAATCAAATGACGCTTTTCAATCAGCATCTTATGAAGCCTTGTTGCCTTTGTGGTATTTGCTCCAGCCCACCCTGGACCCTGCCTGCAATCATCTCTGCAAGTCACCCTCTTCCATCCGTCTTCTTTCTCTGCACACCCTACCTCTGTCCTCTGGGGGGGCAGGGGATTCCGTCCTTCCTCTCTTCCCTCCTGCCTCCACACACTCACCAGATGAGCTCATCTACTTGCATGGCTTCAACTGACCGAACACTGCTGGCTCCTAAACTCGTGTTTCCAACCCTGATTCTAGGATGCATTTCCACCTGCTTCCCAGATTTCTCAACTCACATGCCCTGCACCTACCACCACAGCAAGAGTGCACACTGAGCTAATTACCCCGACTTCCAAACGATGCGCTCTCCTCTTCTGGGTCCTAGGCCAAGGAATGGAACCTCCGTCTGCATGCTGGCCGGAACCGGAAGAGACGTCAGCCCGTCTCCTCCTTCCCCTCCACCTCCGTGGATGAGGTCACACACTATGTGGGTGCTCTGCCCTAAACGGTTCCTTCAGGGCAGGAGCTGCCGCTGGACACTACCAGCCGGCTCCCTTGCTATCTGATTCCAGGAGGATTCGGCAGGGAGAAGGTGGGAGAGAGGGGAGGAGGGGAGGAAGCAGCAGAGGGATTTCCTCCTCTTCCGTGGCACTAGCAGAGCATCCCTCGACCCCTCCTACAGGCTCCTTCAAGGCTGCAGCTCTGGTAGGCTCTGAGGACACTACTCCTTTGTCCTTGTTCCTTTGGTCCCAGCCTGTGTAACCATTTCTCATTTTGCCAGCTTTTAGGTAACCCTTCGATTGTTCCCTTAACCCTTAAGCAGCCCTTTTATTAAAGTGAAAGTGTTAGTCGCTCAGTCATGTCCAACTCTTTGTGACCCCATGGACTGTAGCCTGCCAGGCTCCTCTGTCCATGGGATTCTCCAGGCAAGAATACTGCAGCGGGTAGCCAATCTCTTCCCCAGATCTTCCCGACTCAGGGATGAAACCCAGATCTCCTTCATTGCAGGCAGGTCCTTTATCACTGAACCACCAGGGAAGCCCCTTTCATTAAATCTCCCTTCGTTTAAATCATCCAAATGAATGAGCTCCTGCAGGGCCTCTGACAGAGACAGGGTCCCATCTTAATCCCTTTCCTATCCAGCACCTACAGCACAATGTTCACTAAACATTGGACTAAAGATAAGCTGTTCACTGCAATTCTTGTCCATGGAGAACAGAACATCGTTTTCACTATAGTAAAAAGCTCAGTAATAACCAAGGGGAAGAGGAAAAAAAATAAACTACAGAATGCTTCGAAACAAACGTAATTTTTGCACCATTATCTGTATTTGACTATAGTAAAAAGTTTTACCACAACATTCACTATATAAAACATGTAGATAGCCTCCAACTAATAAAAATAAATGGAAAAAAAAGAGAAGAAAAAAAAAACACGTAGAAAACCAAACTGAAATGAAAAAAACCAACCATTGCTACTTGCTCATTTCAAATACACCCCAACCTTGTACTTTTTCTCTGTGAAGTCTCAGTATGAAGTCTGTCCATTTGAAACGTCTACTTACCCCGAATATAGCGCTTTCAGGCCTTCCTCTCTGCCTATCCTCACTAATGCGTGCAACATTCCTCGATACCTGATTTCTTTAAAGTTTGCATCATTCTTCTGGCCTTGAATCTGGAGCCGTGTCTTGGTTAAATCAATTGGAAAGGTACCTTAAAATTTTTCAGAAGGAAAGGTTTCACTTAATAGAAAGAAATTCCACTAAATAAAGGATACACAGTGACTTATTACTGAGGAAACATTCAGACTAAGAAGCAGAATTAAGAATTTGATACTTTGCAGTCTTCTACTTATTTAAAAAAAGTTAAGAATCAAAAGTTTTTTTATTAAAATTAATAATTAAGAATCAAAAGAATTAAAATTAAAAATAAGAATCAAAAAGCTTTAAGACTCAAAACACGTAACTATTTTCTTTTCCATATATTTGCATTTATGTCCCATTTGTTTCTACATAGGATGTGAAGAGGCTGCACTGCCGTCTAAAGTAGGTACTTGGAATGTTTTATACGAACAGGATATCCATTCTAAACTCTAAGTGACTGGGAACTCCCGGGTAGTCCCAGTGGTTAGGACTTGGCTTTCACTGCTATGTCCCAGCTTCAGCCCCTGGTCGGGGAACTAAGATCCCGCAAACTGTGCAGCATGGCCAAAAACTAATTATAATAAAATGATAAAAAATAAAAGTTACTATCTTTCACACATGTGAAGGCTAATACTGTGCTGAGGATGAGTGGAGACAAAGGCCTTTTCTAAAGGAGCTTCTTACTGCGTGTGACAGCTTAAAGTGGCTCTTGCTGCTGCTGCTTAGTCACTTCAGCCGTGTCCAACCCTGTGACCCCGTGGACCACGGCCCGCCAGGCTCCTCCGTCCATGGGATTCTCCAGGCAAGAGGACTGGAGTGGGGTGTCATTTCCTACTCCAAAAGTGACTCTTAATATAAGCTAAAATGTTTAATGTAGTACCTAAGAGAGCGTCCATCCAAATACACACACCCGTACACAGTGACCGTGAGTCACTGTGTCAATGAATCCAGAGGAAACCGAAGGCAGGGGCGGGTGGGTGAGTGGTCGGAGTCCCAGCCCATCGGCTCCAGGCCCTGCGGTCACCTCAAGGGCAGCCTCCATCCCAGGTGAGCAGGGACTCACCTAGCACCCAGCACGCAACAGCATCTCAGTCAACGTGTGTTTCGCTTTGTTTTGTTTTCCTTTCGGCCACAACAGGAGGCTTGTGGAATCTTAGTTCCCTGACCAGGGATCAACCTGGGTCCTGCAGGCAGTGAAAGCAGGAAGCCCTACCCACTGGACTGCCAGGGAATTCTCACCAACCACCAACATGTGTTGAATGAATGAATCGAGGAATAAAGAAAGGAGCACACGGGACGTGATGGGAGACGGAGCTGATGAAGTCAGCAGCAGGACATGGACGAGCATGATGGGAACACGATGATGCGGTGACAGCTGCTCACCTCTGGCTTGGGAAGACCGTGGGGGCCCCGAACCTCTTTAGAGTCAAATGTGTTCACAGGGACAGAGTGGGAAGGACAACAAGGAGAATGGGGACAGATGTCAGCCAACAATGATTCACGAGGCTTCTGTTAGCAACAGGTTCAACCTTCTCCCCATTGAACTTTGAACCCTAAACTGCTAATAAGCAGTGAGAGTCATTGTTTACCTATTCTTTTTTTTTAATATTTATTTATTTGGCTACATCATGTCTTATGACAGTTGCGTCATGCAGGATCTTTCCTTGTGACAAGTGAGCTTAGCTGTCACATGGCGTATGGGATCTTAGTCCCCAGACCAGATATCGAACTCATGTCCCCTGCACTGGAAGGTGGATTCTCAACCAATGGACCACCCAGAAAGTCCCTATTTTGTCTTAAAAGATTCCCAAGAGGAGAAAGAAATTTTGAATTCTAAGACGAAGTGTTTCAAAGTCTCACATTCTGTGTTTGAATCACATTCACACCAGTCTTCCAATATCCAATATCCAATTATCGTGACCAAAGTCTAAGCCTGGCAGATGCAGTGGGCAGCTGGCCAGCCTCCACTCTGGGCTCCTTACTTACCGCACTCCGCTGTGATGGAGGCCAGGCCTCCGTACACGAAGGGCTTCCAGTTTAGGGCCGACATGCTCACCGCCGTCTGTCGTTCACAGAAGCATAGCCTCCAACGGGGTTTTTCCTGGACACAAAAGTAAGACGTTTCAATGGAACGTCTCACACAGGCAGTTTCTTTTTTAAACTTGTGTTTCACTTGGAGATGGGCTTCCCTGGTAGCTCAGATGGTAAAAAAAAAAAACCTGCCTGAAATGCAGGAGACCCAGGTTCAATCCCTGGGTCGGGAAGGTCCCCTGGAGGAGGTCACAGAAACCCACTCCAGTATTCCTGCCTGGAGAATCCCATGGGCAGAGGAGCCTGGCAGGCTACAGTCCATGGGGTTGCAAAGAGTCAGATGGCGCCACCAGATGCTCCTGTGGAAAACCCCACAATTCCCAAGGTGATCCTCACCTTATAAAGCGAAGCACCCTATCTCCTAAACCCCAAATCACTTTATACATGGCCTTATATAATAGGCCATAAATAATCCAATAAAATAATAACTTGAAACGGGTCATGTGTACAGTGTGATACAATGAAGGCAATCTTCTGGGTGGCCCGTGTTATCTTCAACCTGTTCTCAACACTCAATAAATATTTGCTAAATAAATATTTGCTATTAGCTTGCCACTGTCTTAGTGAGTCCCTCCTGGGAGCCAATGAAGTCCTTCAGATTCACAGAAGTAGAGAAATGCTGCAACCCAGTGAGTGTCTCAAGCTAAAATGGTAATTATTGACCTAAAATGGCCACAGTATACTTCCAGTGTATAAGTGTGACCTCTCTTCCCTTACCCATAGTATGTTACCATCTGTGAGGAGGCCTGGGATGAAGAATCAAGGCAGACTATGGGGTGAGAGCCTCATCACTTCCTTCCTCATTCATAAAGCTCCAGTTAACCTCTAGGTTTTTCAATTCTCCACCCTCTTCATAGTCAAAACATCCAAGACAACCAGTCAGGGGTAGAGCCCATACCTTTCTCCACTAGATGAAATAAAATGCCCAGCTTTTAGGCCTATTGTGGAAATTAAGTATATTTTTTAAAACCAACACAAAAAAGACACTCACTAAGGTTGCCTTCCGTCCTCCGTTGAGTCCACACGCCCTCACTCACTGTGACACATATGCACGCACCTGGCGCAGCCAGGTCCCCACATTCATTATATGTTCTGCAGCTTCATGGGATTTCAGCTGGCAAATCTGGGCTTGCGCCCATTGAAAGGAGACACGGAAACTAGCCCACTTTTGTGTATATGCTATCGACTTCAATTCTTGTCAGTTTAAAGTAAAATTGCATTCAGTTGACCAAAAAGTTCGTTGGGGTTTCTTGTTAAGATATGGAAAAACCGGAATGACCTTCTGGGCCAGTAATTTACTATAGTCATTGGCAAGCAACATGCCCAAGGTTTTTGCTTTGAAGGTCCTGGGAGTCTTCCCAGGCCTGTACTTCTCAGGAGACCTCACATAAGTCACCACTAATGTCAGTCCACAAGATGGCCAATCGGCTTGCTTAAACCAAGAGAAAACACAGGAACTCAAAGGGGACCCTGGTAGACTGATAAACTGATATCTATTCCTCATTTATGGACGTTAACTAAATTCAGAGTGGCTACACATGGGTAAGATAGAAGGCTCCCTAAGCATGGAACTTAAAAATCATCATGTTTAATGTATTTTTATAGCAAAGAACAAGCACTGCTCCCAAAAACTCATCTAATATCCTTAAAGTTTAATATTTGTACTTAACTAATTCTTAGCCTTACTGAAGTCATAAGTAAGATAATGATTAACACTATAAGTTACAAACTGTAAAACATATTAATAATAAATCCAATAGTCCATGTACTGTCCTCAACCCGTTCTTGAATTTTGCTGACTTCAAGTTAAAAATCAAAACAATAACCACATAACAGTGACATGCAGAAGTACTGTAGCTTGCCATTACAAAAGTGTTCAATATAAATTATTTCAGTGGATTCCCCCACAAGAAGTTTGGGGTGGGACACAAAAACAGACCAGGAAAGCCAGTTTCAGGAACGTGCCTTGTCCAAAGCCACATGGCCAAGGGGGCAGAAATGGACCTACAACCCCCAAACCTGAGCCCAAGTTTCCTGTTCTTTCTGCTACTACCTGAGGCTATACATGATCAAAAGGAATGGTGGTGTTTTAATTAAGCAGAAAATACTACTAAGCAGCTCTGAATAGTATTGATGAGACACATCACAGAAAGAATAAAAATGTGCTTAATTTAAGAGAAAAGTCTTAACAGAAATATATATACTCAAGTGAAAGTGAAGTCGCTCAGACTTGTCCGACTCGTTGAGACCCCATGGACTGTAGCCTATGAGGCTCCTCCATCCACGGAATTTTCCAGGCAAGAATACTGGAGTGGGTTGCTATTTCCTTCTCCAGGGGATCTTCCCGACCCAGGGACTGANACCTTTGTCGGCAAAGTAATGTCTCTGCTTTTTAATATGCTGTCTAGGTTGGTCATAGCTTTCTTCCAAGGAGCAAGCGTCTTTTAATTTTATGGCTGCAGTCACCATCTGCGGAGATTTTGGAGCCCAAGAAAATAAAGTCTGTCACAGTTTCCATTGTTTCCCCATCTATTTGCCATGAAGTGAAGGGACCGGATGCCACGATCTTAGTTTTCTGAATGTTGAGCTTTAAGCTTTTTCACTCTCCTCTTTCACTTTCATCAAGAGGCTCTTCAGTTCCTCTTTCACTTTCTGCATTAAGGGTGGTGTCATCTGCGTATCTGAGGTTATTGCTATTTCTCAATCAATTTGAATAGAGATAATTAATTTTTCCAATACAAAATATACAGATAGCACTATCTTTTCCAGAGTGTTTTTTACTGAGGCAAAATTCACATACTGCAAACAAAGCACCAAGGCAAACAACTCAGTGGCACTTAGTACCTTCAGAGTTGTACCAGCGCCTCTATCTAGTTCCAAAATATAGCATCACCCTGTGGTCAGTGAATTGGAGGTTCTTTCTTCATAATGAAAGAATTCGGAGATGAAGCAGAGAACTTAAGTAAAGTGAAAGTTTATTTAAGCAAAGAGGAGAGCAGGCTTACAGGTGAAGAGCTGCCACCCACAGTTTCTTTGGCAAGCTGGTCTCGAGGAGCATACAAGTGAAGGGGCGGAATATTTACTGGAGGAGGACGAGCCTGCGGGTCATATTCCCTGATTTTCATCCCAGCCCCATTTTCCTGAGGGGAAGAAGGATTTTTGTCTTAGGGATTTAGCTCAGATCAGAAGTGTCATGGCATCAGTGCAAGATGGGTACTTCTTATCTGTAAGACTTTGCTGTTGTTGAGTTGCTCAGTTGTGTCTGACTCTTTGGGACCCCCATGGACTGTAGCCCACACCAGGCTCCTCTGTCCATGGGATTCTCCAGGCAAGAATACTGGAGTGGGCTGCCACTTCCTTCTCCAGGGGATCTTCCCCACCTGGGATCGAACCTGCATTGGCAGACAGATTCTTTACTACTGAGCCACAGGGAAGCCCTATTGTAAAGAGAGCACAGAGAGCAAAGGATTACATTTGGATGCAGGTGATTCCCATCTTTCCTACATTTCTTTGTCTGCTTTTCTGACCCTTATCACCCAAAATGGTGTCACTTCCTGTCAGTCTGAAGGTTCCTGCTTTCCTTTATCTGCCGATGGACCCTTGCTGTTTACAAGATGCTTGATTTCCTGCACTTGGCCCCTGCCCCCATTTCTCTATCACACCTAACCACCTGCCTGCTGCAACTAACAATTCCAAAAGGAAATCATTAACCATTGCCCACCCCTCATGGCCTCTAGGATTCTTATTTTCTTGGCTGTGACACTACATGTGCTGAGTGGAACACAGGACTCCTTTTTAGCAGCTCCTAAGGAAATGGCAACCCACTCTAGTATTCTTGCCTGGAAAATCCCATGGACGGAGAAGCCTGGCAGGCTATAGTCCATGGAGTCGCAAAGAGTCGGACACGACTGAGAGACTTCACTTAGCACTTAACCTGTCTGAGGAGCTTCTTAGAAGTACAGATACTAGGGCCCCACCCACTGAATGAGGACCTCAGGGGCATCCCCAAGCATCAATGAGTCAAATAGTGATGGCAAATAACGCCTTGGAATACTTATCACTTAAATAACTTAGGTAGTTGATCAGATAGTGATGACACTACAGATAGTTCTTTTGATTCATCTTATTTAGCAGTGATTTTTTTTCTACAGTGTAGTGGAAATGCATACATACAAAATACACACACACACACACACACACACACACACACAAACACAAAAGATAGCCTCTAAAACGTCAGCAAAATGGTATGGGAAATGGATTTTACCTGATCTCTAATTAAAAATGTTTTTAAAAAACTGTATTGTATATGACTTCATGCCATTTCACCCCTTAAATCTTCTGGTTTCCTGTCTACTTTGTTATGCTAGTTTAGTTTTAATGAGATTTGGCTTTTTTTTTTCTGTCGGGCTTTAAGATTAGGTTTTTTAGTTATAATGTTAAAACCCAGAGGTTCTGGGTTATACTCATATGCAAATACTCAACTAGGGTGCCACATTGCAATGGAGTTGCCTCCCACGGTTTTGAATCAGCATGGATGAGGCACACACCCACCCGTGAGTTCCCATTCAGATGGACCCTCACAATACCTTATCTTCCACAAACCAGAGCCCCTCTGGTATCCCTGGTTAAACTGTACCAAAGTCCTTTCTATTCAACTACTAATAAGATGTTTAAAAGTGAACTAAAAGTAGGGTAAAAATAACTTTGGAGCTCTTCTCTTCTCCTTTCCCAAAGCCAGGACTAGATGCCTGAGCAGTTAAGACTATCGTGCCTTCCCAGAGTATTGTCTGCAGTCAAAGAAAGATAACTCAGCTTAAAGAACAACCCAAGAGCATCATCAGTAATTGGGCAAGCATCCAAATAACAGGTTCTGGTTAATAACTGGAACAGGAGTCCGTAGGTCCAGTAAGCACACTGGCCAAAGCTAGCTGTAACAGGGCTTCAGCTACCTGGGGCTGAAACCTCTCTTCAGCATTTCACCCATTTCTTTGTTTTGGAGCTCTCTTT